CGCCTTTGCAAAGAGATCATAATGCTAAAATTTTCGGACAGTGTTTCCAACGTGTAGTTTATATGTGTGTGTGTATGTGTTAAATAGTATAGTAGTTAGGATCAATTATTTGGTACTTCCTCAAATTACTAGGAATAAACAATGAAATTGTGAAGGAACTAGAATAGCTAAATTCCTGTCCCTACTGACAAATGAAAACAATGAAAAAGTTCCCTACCAGAGTATGAGTGGCGGATCCAGAAAGAGAATCTCCTGCATGATGAGAGAGAGGAACTCCTCAGGATCTGCACACATCAGGAAAAACACTATGCTTAGTGCAATTCTATAAAACAGCCAAGAGATCTTTTCTAGATAATGAGATATAAATAATTTGTGGAAACAGCTGTGTAATATTTGAGATCTGCGTTTTGATGACTTGTAGAGAAATGTAAAGTCGGACATTTTTCTTTAATATTCTGTTTGAAACTTGACATCGCTAACAAAGCTGAATATGGCTATGACATCAAGGAGATAGCGTACCCTTCTCATCTGTGGTGTAAGTGGGGCAGTGTTCCCGTTTCTGTAATTGTTTCCGAAGATTCATCACACTGTGCTCTGATACAAAACCTTGTCTGTAAATTAGGAGAGAAAATTAGGCTATTCAAGCTCTCCTATATGTGTATATGTACAATAAGTGTTATTGAAATTTCTGCTTAGCATGACTTTCAAATTTAAATTTTACAAGGTCAAAATTCTATCAATACAAAGCCAAATGAGGGCCACAAGCTCACTTGCGGAGAGGGTTAACAATGCTCTTTAGCAGAATACTTTGAATGGTTTCATATTCTGTAGTCTTAAAAAGCAGAGAATCCAGAACTGAAGAACAGGAAAACACACTGGACAAAAAGAAAAAACAGAAATAAGATCATGCCATATTATTGAACTGTTGATAAATTAAACCAGAGATATTTAAATTGTGCTTATTTATTTGTTGACTCTACTTCTACATTCTACACTAATTATATTTAATGTAT